CACAATAAAAAGAAGGAAACAACAAATGTGACCAAGTCCCAGGAGCAGCTGTTAGAGGAGTTTAGTGTTGAGGGACTGACAGGAAAAGGTTAAAAACAAAGTGTTTAGTGGGTTTTGGGCACCTTCTCCACGTGGGCGTCTTCATCAGTGCTTTACAAACCAGAGTCTCCCTAAACTAAGCAGGTAAGAACAATCACAAGGATCCGTCCAGTGTTGACCCTCCTTAAGGCTACGAACAAAGTCAAAGGTCACCTCAGTAGTGAAGAGTGGGCGGTGACAAACGCAGCTACCGCTTCTGTAGTGGAAACGTTCAGATTGTCCAAAAATCATCGACTCCTTCACTTCATCCGTCTGGTGCAAAAATGTCTCACGTCCACAACGTCCTGCTGCTGTCCAAAGGGACACACACACACACACACGTACAAAAAACACACACACACACGTCCACAACGTCCTGCTGCTGTCCAGGGACACACACACACACACACGTACAAAAAACACACACACGCACGCACACACACACACGTCCACAACGTCCTGCTGCTGTCCAGGGACACGCGCACGCACACACACACACACACACACGCACGCACGCACGCACACACACACACGTCCACAACGTCCTGCTGCTGTCCAGGGACACGCGCACGCACACACGCACGCACGCACACACGTACAAAAAAAAACACGCACAAAAACACACACACACGCACACGGACAAAAAACACACGCACGCACGCACGCACACACACACACACGTACAAAAAACACACACACGCACGCACACACGCACGCACGTACAAAAAACACACACACACACACGCACGCACACACACACACACACACGCACGCACGCACACACACACACACGTACAAAAAACACACACGCACGCACGCACATACAAAAAACACACACACGCACGCACAAAAAAAACACACACACACACACACACACACGCACGCACGCACACACACACGTACAAAAAACACACGCACGCACGCACATACAAAAAACACACACACACGCACGCACACACACACACACGCACGCACGCACGCACATACAAAAAACACACACACACACGCACGCACATACAAAAAACACACACACACGCACGCGCGCGCGCACACACACACACGTACAAAAAACACACACACACGCACGCACGTACAAAAAACACACACACACACACACACACACGTACAAAAAACACACACACACGCACGCACGCACGCACGTACAAAAAACACACACACGCGCGCGCGCACACACGTACAAAAAAACGCACACACAAAAACACGTGCACACACAGACACCCACACGAACCCACACACGTACAAAAAAAAAACGCACAAAAACACACGCGCGGACATAAAAACATGCGCGCGCGCACAAAACCACACACATGTACAAAAAACACGTACAAAAAAAACACATGCACACACACACACACACACACACACACGTACGTACGCACGCACACACACACACACGTACGCACGCACACACACACACACGTATGCACACACACACACACGTATGCACGCACACACACACACACGTATGCACACACGCACACACACACACACACGTATGCACGCACACACACACACACGTATGCACACACGCACACGCACACACACACACACACGTATGCACGCACACACACACACACACCACAGTTCAGTGACTTGGAGGACTGAGGGAACGCTCGGGCACATCAGCTTCTCGCCCCTCCGGGTCTTTGCTCGGTACGCTGGAGTATTCTGGTCCACCTGAGTCCTCTTCAGAGTCCGGAGGTCTTTAGTGTCTCACTTGGTTCATCTCATCCGGTTCTGACGCATCAGAGGGACGATGCTGGATGGCGGTCCCGCCTTCTGCAGGAAGGGGTGTTTGAGCAGCTCGCCGGCGGTGGCCCTCTGAGCCGGATCACGCACCAACATCCTGTCCAGGAAGCCTTTGAGGAGAGGCGAGACCTGGAAACATCACAACAGTCATTCCTTTTCCTTAGAGACGCCTTTCTCAAGGTCACCTTAGAGTAAGACGAGAGAACACATCAAAGCAAGATCACCTCAATAAATCAATAAAGATCAAAAAGCAATAACAGATCAATGAGACGGGGGATGGATGGAGAGTCGCAAACAATCAATACTTTATTAATCCCAGAGGGAACAAAAGCTTTTGAACAAGTACGTTCTGAGACGTGATTTGAAAACTGAAATGGAGTCGATGTGAATCTCAGGTGGAAGATGATTCCAGAGGTGAGGAACAGAGCTCTGGAGTCCATGGCAGACAAACGGGAAGATGGTGGATGCAGGAGGAAGATCCATGACTACGGATGGGGATGGTCATTTCCAACAGCTCACTGAGACATGGACGGGGTTTTGCAGCTGAGTTCTGGACCAGCTGAAGTTTGTGTACAGATGGTTGCCAGAGACCAAACAGTACCGAGTTACAGTAGTCAGTACTAGAAGTTACCAGGGTGGGAACAAGAACAGCAGCGCTTTCAGGTGATTACAGTTACGTAGATGGAACTGGGACTGACATGGTAACGTACCACCAACGACGACACCCCGTAGGCGAGGGGCTGATGGAAAGATTTAGCTAAAATTGATGTGGAACCAATGAGAAGAATCTGTTTAGTCGCGGTTCAGTTGAAGACAACTGTTAGATAACCGTGTTTTAATCTCATCCAGACGGCTTCACTTGAGCCGGATCTTGCCGGAACAAGGTCCGGGAACTATCTTATTTTGCAAGGACCGTTCCGGCAACTGTCTGCTAGGATCCGGCAACTCACGCGACAAACTTGTGCTATACGCAGGATTCGAGTTACGGGTGAGCTAGGGAGCTCCAGGAAGCCCTGAACACACCCGGGGGGTCCATCTGTACTGACGGACCGTATGTATGGATGTTTTCCTCCTAATATTCACATAAACACCAATAATAATACGAGGGGTTTAAAGGCAATAGGTGAAGTTTATGCATTTAACCAGAAATGTCATAAATGATCATCAGGGCTGATGAAATCTAATCCAGGTCAGAATTATCTCTCATCCATCTCGTGATCAGCAGCAGCTGGATGTTTCTGACCTAAAGTTTCTAGTGAAGCACACTCCTCTTGTCTTGTGTTTGCTCATGATCCATATTTCTGTTAGAAACCGTCTCTCCATGGATGCACCTGCCCGTCAGAGCGTCTCACCACTGGTTGGTCAGCTGATGCAGGAATGTGTACGGTGAGGGGAAACAGTCTTACTTTCTCTCCTCCGCCTGAGCTGATGGTCGAGCCTCGCAGCAGTGATGCACCTTTTGTGCGAAACGCGGCCCTTCATGGAGCGCTGCCAGACTGTGGATGACTGATGTTTGAGGACACACGGGCATCTTTTCAAAAATCTGTCAGATTTCAACTAATGAATACCTGGAAATTTTACCGGTGTGCACTGTACCCTAGAAAAAGTGCCGGCATGCTGAAAGGTTATGTTTAGAAGTGGTGGCGGTGCTGGTACCGGTCCAATGAACTGCTCTCTGTCCCTAATGGAGGAGTCCGATGATCTGATCATCAGAACCTGATCATCATGCACCGTTCCTGACGGTCTCTGTTTCTCCCTCCCTAACCCGCCCCACGAGCCCAGCATTGCGCGCTGCGCGATAATTAAACTGGTCCAAACACTCCACCTTAAACCGGTTCTCCCAACATGACCACACACAGGCCAGCCTGGACATGCACCTGTGGCCAGAGCTTTCTTCTTTTTCCACCTCTCCTGTTCTGCTCTGCCTTTCCTGGTCTGTCTAGGTCCATTTTGCCTCTGGGGCCAAAGGTGCGGTGGTGCTGTAGCCGCTCTGGGGTGGGGGGTGTCTGCAGCGCTTTGTCAGACCCCACCAAAGTGAGAGGAGGGGGTGTCTTTGTGCCCAGTTTGCTCCGTTTGTGCGAGCATCAGGACGACGCCCTGATGACGATGCTACATGACGGATTGCTCATTTAGATGTTACGCACGTCGTGACCGGCAATCACTGAGCGGGCCAGTTTAACGGCCAGGCCACCGGGAAATCTCCCGCTTCTCCCGATTACCAGTCCGCCACTGAAGAGATGTGTGTTAACTTAGAAAATGTGGGCGCAATTTTAATTACTACTACTAGTAAAAACATTGTTGGTATTATCAATGTGAATGTTAAAATCTCCCATTATAATAATATTGTAGGAGAGGGAAGTTAAATAGGCTAGAAAGGTGGAAAATTCACCAGTAAAGTCCTTATTGTGCTTAGGTGGACGATACACACAGGCAACAACTGCAGGATCAGGTCCAGTCAGCGGTACAGTAGGGGACTCGAAAGAGACACGATAAGGAACCGAGAACACGGTAGCGGGTGCAGCCGCTAACACGGTAGCAGGTGCAGCCGCTAACACGGTAGCGGCTGCAGCCGCTAATACAGTAGCAGGTGCAGCTGCTAATACAGTAGCAGGTGCAGCTGCTAATACAGTAGCGGGTGCTGCTGCTAATACAGTAGCAGGTGCTGCTGCTAACACAGTAGCGGGTGCAGCTGCTAATACAGTAGCGGGTGCAGCTGCTAATACAGTAGCGGGTGCAGCTGCTAATACAGTAGCGGGTGCAGCTGCTAATACAGTAGCGGGTGCAGCTGCTAATACAGTAGCGGGTGCAGCTGCTAATACAGTAGCGGGTGCAGCTGCTAATACAGTAGCGGGTGCAGCTGCTAATACAGTAGCGGGTGCAGCCGCTAATACAGTAGCGGGTGCAGCTGCTAATACAGTAGCGGGTGCAGCCGCTAATACAGTAGCGGGTGCAGCCGCTAATACAGTAGCGGGTGCAGCCGCTAATACAGTAGCGGGAGCAGCCGCTAATACAGTAGCGGGTGCAGCCGCTAATACAGTAGCGGGTGCAGCCGCTAATACAGTAGCGGGTGCAGCCGCTAATACAGTAGCAGGTGCAGCCGCTAATACAGTAGCGGGTGCAGCCGCTAATACAGTAGCGGGTGCAGCCGCTAATACAGTAGCGGGTGCAGCTGCTAATACAGTAGCAGGTGCAGCCGCTAATACAGTAGCAGGTGCAGCTGCTAATACAGTAGCGGGTGCAGCCGCTAATACAGTAGCGGGTGCAGCCGCTAATACAGTAGCGGGTGCAGCCGCTAATACAGTAGCGGGTGCAGCCGCTAATACAGTAGCGGGTGCAGCCGCTAATACAGTAGCGGGTGCAGCCGCTAATACAGTAGCGGGTGCAGCCGCTAATACAGTAGCGGGTGCAGCCGCTAATACAGTAGCGGGTGCAGCTGCTAATACAGTAGCGGGTGCAGCCGCTAATACAGTAGCAGGTGCAGCTGCTAATACAGTAGCGGGTGCAGCTGCATATTTTTTCAATAAAAATGTTATGTTGTAATGGAATTCATGCATTAGTTTTTGTTTGCTTTGAACCCAGAGCAGACGACATCAGCACTGCATACTTTAGTATTTGTTCATTTATCGTGAGTAATATAGAATATCGCAGGTTTTCCTAGTATCGTGCAGCCCTGATGTTCACCAACATTTTGATGGATTTTCCCAGAGATTAAAGGTAAAGTTACACATTGTCACTTTAACAGTGGGACCCAGTGCCTCCCTGGTTGACTCTCAGCTTTAGGGGTCGGGGTTCAGGAGGGCAGCCACTGCTCCCCACAGGCATGGGTCAGATGGAGATGAATGTCACCAGTGTGAGGATGACTATGGGGCTTTAACTCTGAAACAGAAGATCAGCTGATCTGTTGTTGACAGGAACAGCACTGCAAAGCCCCATGGTCCCAGATGCATCATAAAAGGTCAAAGGTTACTCAACACTTAGAATAAAACTCCATTCCTCTCATTAACGTGATGTTTTACAAAGACAACTGGAGGTTCATGTGTTTTCCACCTTGTGCAGGTTCTTCAGGTTGGGTGGAAGGTTGTCTCGAATCATCTTCATGGCTTTGAGTGGCGGCTCGTTGAAGTACGGCGGCTCTCCGTCCACCATCTCTATGACCATGATGCCCAGAGACCAGATGTCCACCTGAGCACAAACCATGAGGATGAGGATGATGATGAGGAGGAGGAGGAGGAGGAGGAGGAGGATGATGAGGAGGAGGAGGAGGAGGAGGAGGAGGAGACGGAAGAGCGGCTGTTACCTCTGGTCCATAAGGAAGTCGGGATATGAGCTCCGGGGCCATCCAGTACGGCGTTCCAACAAGAGACTTCCTCCTCTGAACTTCCTTTGACACCTGAGCGCAGAAACCAAAGTCTGACAGCTTCACCTGGACACACAGAGGCAATAACGAGTCATCAGTGGAAGCTGACCTTCTTCCTCTAATGCTTGTGAAGATACTCATTACCCTCTGATCTTCACTTCCAGCTGTAGATAACGACCGAGCTTTTCTTTCAAGTGTGAGGTAAAAACCAAGGTCCAGCGTTAAAACTGGAGCTGACGACGGTCCGATGAGACATTAGAAATGAGAGCCGACCCAAAGGTTCAGGCTAGAGAGGGTTTCTCTTGGTGAAACTGGTTTGTGGGATTAACTACCGCTGGTGCGACAACCATCCACCTCTCGTTCTCAGAACGCTGACGCCACGAGGCTGAGAGCTCTCACGTAAACACACACACACACACACACACACACTAGAGCTCTGCAGGGAGGAAACTTCTGCTGAGAAGAGCTCATCGGTGAAACCTGGAGCGATACTTGAAATAAACGAACATCTGAGGTGATGTGACTGGACGGACCGCTCAGGGAGCAGCTGCTTCAGGTCACACCCATAGTTCTGCTTCCCCTGCCAGGCAGAAACCACAAAGTCACGCCTGAACCCAGCAGCAGCTCTTAGCCTGAAAATAAACACACACACTGATGCTGAATGCTGCTATTTCCCTCCAGGACGCTCAGATGTTAAAATCCACTCAGAAATCATGGATTCATGGAACTCGCCAAGAAACACATCGGAGCTCTGAGTCAGGTTCTGCTACAACCACACGGCCAAGAGGAGGCTCAGCTCTAACCAGTGAGCAGGAGGAGCTCAGCCTGAGTCTGCTGGTTTCATTCGGACAACATACAGTAGCTAGTCTGGGTGAAGCACCTGACCAGATCAGCTAGCAGCTCCTCTACAGGTGGAGCTGCACCAACGCCCCAGCCAGGTGTTCCATCTGACCTGGCCGAGGCCTACGAAAGTCTTCACACACACAGCTGAGCTGCCTTTTACCCACTGTTGCTAGGCAACCATGTTGGTTTCATCAGAAGCTCACCTGTTGTTTCTATGAAGGAAGTGATGAGATGTCTGGTGTGTGTGTCTGTGTGCGTGTGTGTCTGTGTGTGTGTCTGTGTGCGTGTGTGTCTGTGTGTGTGTCTGTGTGCGTGTGTGTGTCTGTGTGTGTGCGTGTGTCTGTGTGTATGTGTCTGTGTGTATGTGTCTGTGTGCGTGTGTGTGTGTGTGTGTCTGTGTGCGTGTGTGTCTGTGTGTGTGTGTGTCTGTGTGTGTGTCTGTGTGCGTGTGT